GGTCTCTTTTGGACATCTCCATAGTTCAGCAATGAAGTATTAGTCCAGATTTTATTTATTATTCCTAAAGGACACAAGCTCACCAGACAGACACACAGAGAAAGGAACACCCCCCCACCCCGCAACAAGGTGTGGTCATACTGCTATCCTTTTTTCTCCATCCTGTCAGGATTTTAGCCATGCACACACAGGTTCCTGGTATGTTTTCCAGGCCACAAGGGCCAGAATTCAAACCAACATTAATGCAGAGAGCCAGCATTCTATGCAGAGCATTTAACCACTGCACTATGGGGACAGACCTAAAGCATCTTTAGATGAACAGATTTTTAATGTACTGAGATTTATCCTATCTTTTCTAATGATTAGTGTTGTTTTGGTCTTGTTTAAGAAATTCAACTTTACCCAAGGTCCCCAGAGATAGGCATCTGGAAAACCATGACCTTCACATACCAGAAGTTTGGAGAAATTTCAGCTAAACACAAGACAAATTGTTATATACAACAACTAACTGCAAAACCACACTGAACAAAAGTAGCCAGTCATAAAAGGTCATACACTGTGTTATCTCACTTATATATTATGGAAAATTTTTTATAAGAATAGCAAACAGATCAGTGGTTGGCAGGAATTAGAACCATACTTAAAGGGGTACACCAAGGGTATTTATACTCTTACTCTGTAAATGTTTTTAAAATGAGATGAAAAAGAAAAAAATTTCTAAAAATGGTAATTATAACAGGCACAGACTGACTTTGAATAGTCATCATACACTCAATAAAATGAAGACGAACTTTGGATCAAGGAATGTAGGCAAATAAAAACCAATCAATCAATGGGAACCAGCAGTTAGCGTAATGGGTATGTCGCTGGACTCCCACGTAGTAGACCGCAGTTCGCGTCCCGGACACGGTGGCTTAAAACTCACGTGGGCGCGTGTGCATGCATGCCCAAGATCCCGAGAGGAGAATGGAGGAGAAGGGATTGCAGCGTGACCATCCCCTCTGGTGTTGCGGTTTCTCGCTGTCTCTAGGTCTCTCTCTGTCTGTCTGGCGTGCGCACGCACCCTATAGCGAAAACCTCTCCAAAAAAAAAAGAAAAACAATCAACAGAGGTAAAGAAAGAGTGAGACATGACAATATGAGAAAGCCAATATAGTCCACCCTTTGTATCCTTTGGTTCTGCATCACACAATCAATCAACTCCATATTCATAGATGTCTGTTATATGAAGGGCCCACTGTCACTGAAGACCTCGCAAATCACAGTATCAACATGAAGCAAACGCAAATAAAGAAAAAAATAATAAAAATAAGAACCAATGGCACTCAAGGATAAAGATTCAACATACTTATTGACATAAAAGAGAAAACATAAAAATGTGACCTATAGACTAAGAACTAAAGAAAATAAAATACAGAGACCCATTTTGTACACATCCCACACATTTGTTCATATTTCAAGAATAAAGTTTTCTGTACACTCAGAAACAGTATTTATAAACACGGAAAATTCCAGCTGGCCTCTGACTTCTCCATAATACTAGGTCTTCAGAAAAGTCAAGAAGCATGATGACCCAATACACAGAAACAATAGACGGCCTAAGCACCATACATACCAAGTGTGATCCAACATGGCCAATCAGGGTTCAATATGTGGCCAGGATCCCCACAGGATGAAAGAAAATGGATTGCAGCATGACGAGGACCAGTTCCTGGGTACTCATACTCTCTTTCTGACCCCTACCACACACAAGTGCATATGCACTCAAACATAACAAAAGAAAAAAATTACAAAAAAACAAAAACTGTAAAGCTAAGGTTACAGTATTTTACATAAAAAAAAAAAAAAAAAAAAAAAACTCAAGAATTCTACCACCAGCTAAAATGGGCCCTCAACCCCTTGGGCCACAGACTAGTGCCAGTATACGGTCTGGTGGCACCTCCCCTTATACCGGGCTGCATAGCACCAAGTAAGCCAAGTTTCACCTGTGTTTGTGGCCATTCCCCACTACCCACATTGATGCCTGGGGTCGCCTATCAGATCAACAGCAATGCTGGATTCTCAGGTAATGTGAACCCTACTGCGTAACTTTTTCACTGTACAGTGCAATGCAGTAGTTGTGGAAATGAGGTACACAGTGGATGTGATGTGCTTGGATCATCCTGAATCCAAGCCCATTTCCCACTTCCTGCCCTAATGAGGCCTGTACCTGGAGCAAGGGTTCCACTGTGCTAAAATGTCTTCACATAACACAGCTAAAGAACACCTTGGGGGGCCAACCCATGGAGTGGTACTTAAAGTGGATGGATCTCGGGACCAGTAGTCAGCGTAATGGCTATGTTGCTGGACTCCCATGTAGTCGACCATGGTTTGCATACTAGACCTAGTGGCTTAAAACTCACGCCGGACACGTGTGCATGCGTGCCCAAGATCCCAAAAGGAGAATGGAGGAGAAGGGATTGCGGCATGGCCATCCCCCCTGGGGGGTGATTTCTCGCTTTCTGTCTCTATGTCCCTCTCTCTCTGTCTGGCGAGCACACGCGCCCTACAGTGAAAATCTCTCCAAAAAAAAAAAAAAAGAACAAAAGGGCTTAAAATTTGTGACTCCCGCATGTCTGTCTAACCAATTTTCACAGCTTATATTTCTCCAAGTGTCTTAAAATCAGCACATCTCAAAAACAAAATTTGTACCTTCATTCTTTCAGTATCATTTCTACTGATGCACTGTTTGTAGTGGCAGTTACAATATAACCCAACTGCTCAGCTCAAATATTGGGTTATCGGAAGTTATGACAGATTTTTGCACAGAAAAACAGAAAAATCTATCATGACTTCCAATGACCCAAATCCTTAGTAGCAACTTTTGATTCTATTTCCCTCATTTGCTACAGTTAAATGGAAGAAAATTCTATTCAGCAATCCATTTAAAAGTATAGCAGATCCTGGGACCGGCAGTTGGGTGTAATGGCTTTGTCACTGGACTCCCATGTGGTTAGAGCACCAGACATGGTGGCTTAAACTCATGCCGGGCATTTGTACATGCGTGCCCAAGATCCTGAGAGGAGAATGGAAGAGAAGGGATTGCAGCATGACTGGTGGTGATTTCTTGCTTTCTGTGTCTCTTTTTTTTTTTTTTATATGTTTTTGCTATAGGGCGCGTGCACTCACCAAAAAGACAAGGAGAAACAGAGACAGAAACAGGGACACACGCACACACGCCCAGTGTGAGTTTAAGCCACCGGGTCCGGGACTCAAACCAGAGTCGACTACATGGGAGTCCAGCAACATAGCCATTACGCTACCTGCTGGTCCCTGTTTCTTTCTTTTTCTTTGAAAGATTTTTTGCTACAGGGAATATGCACTCACTGGAAAGACAGAGAAACAGAAAGCAAGAAATTACCCTCCAGGGGAAATGGCCACATCACAATCCTTTCTTCTCCAGTCTCTTCTCGGAATTTTGGCCATACGTGCACAAGTGGCCAACATGAGTTTTAAGCAACGAGGTCCAGGATTCAAACTGGGGTCGACTACATGGGAGTCCAGCAATATAATCATTATGTCATCTGCTGTTTCCAACTCAAAGCAAAGTTTCTAACAATTCAGTACACTAGAATCACTTGGGGTATTTGTTAAAAATGTACATTTACCAGGTCCCTTATCAAATGGTATCAAGAATTTACATTTTTATGAAACCTAAATTATCATGGCCTCTAAGGTTTGGAAACTACTGCTCTAGGATCATTATTTCAACATTATTTACCACTAAGGAATGATAGTGGAACAAAATCTTTCTGCTGCATACAACCAAGAAGCCACAAAATATAGTCATGCACCACATAGTGATACTTTAGTCAATGACGAGCCACATGTAAGACAGAGGTCCCATGAGAAGAGACTACATCATATGCTCTGAGTGTGTAGTACGTACGTTACACCACCCAGGCTTATGTAAGTACGTTCTATGATGTTCTCTCAACAATAAAACCACTTACTGCATTTTTCAGAATGTACATTAAGTGATGCCTAACGACTGCATTTCAGTTCACACACAGAAACAAACCAATGATATCTTACATACAAATAAAGTTAAATTAAGTTCCTTCTCTTTCTTGCTTTCTACACAGCTGCTTTCCACAGTAGCAAACATCATATATTGTAGGAGCTTCTAGTTATACCATTGCAGCTTTTCTAAATAAATGTAAATATATTACCTATGAAAAAATACATCCATTCTCTTTTTCCAACTAACAGTAGGACTCCAACTTTATATTATATTAATAGTTTACAACAGCCTATATTAGCCTGTGTGACACTGTAATATTCTGGCCAATATGACACAAATGTAAATAGTGTGTATAATTCCGGGAAAGTCACCCTGAGACTCAGAGTACATTACAGAATGAGAAATCAAATTCTGCAGTCCAATTCTACTAAGTCTTTCAACTCTAAGCTGCCTTCCTTAATTCAAGTCCTCATTTTATTTTTGTTCAACTGCTTTAACTATAAAATTATAAAAATACTTCAGGAATTTTCTGTTAAAATCTATTTCTCATAAATATTAAATGGATAGTCAAACATTTACTGAAAGCTGTTGGTTTCAAACTCCAAACATATTTTCTCATAAAATGAAAATGAAAGATTCATTAGAATCCCTGGACAATTTACAAGTCTGTTTAGTTATAAATGCTGAACTCATTCAGCTTTAACACTGAAACTTATCTGAACTTTATCACCTGAGGATAAGTGTGAAGAATAGACAAGAAGCAAACTCAGCATAAGTTATCCTTGGCAAAATTTTAAAAAAATGGAATGACTCAAAATGTACACAGAGACTCCTTTAAGTATGTCTGTAGAGTTGTTTCTTAATCTATGTTGTTGGTTTCCTTCAAAATAACGTTCTTACACTCAATATGTAATATTAAGAGGCATTAAAGAATACCTACCCATTTATCCCATCTCCAACAGAAAAAAAACCTACACTCAAAATGACTATGTTCTTACCCTACGCATGGCTTCCTCCTCTTCTTGACGCTTCTCATAATGTGCAAAGTCATCAAAGATTGAGGTGGTATGCTTGAAAGTTGCAATTATTTTAAGCACTTGCTTAGCTTTTTCTAGGGGTACCTCTTGAGTGTCCCTTGAATTGGTAACTGGTTTGTTGTCATTATTTTCTAAGCGAATGTGCCGTAACTGGTTATTGGGAACATCTTTGACAAAGATCCATTTAACTTCAAATTTGCCCTTCCACTTATCCTGAGACCAGACACCAGCATATGCATTATAGTCCACAACAGACTTCATTTCAGCCACTCCACAAAAATGTCCACTGCCATTCACACTGAAGAGTAAATAGAGTGGGCCCTTTCCATTCAGGGAACGGTAAGCTGCATCCAAACGCTTATTACCATGCTCAGTACTACACCAAATAGAGTACTTAATAGAACGATGTATGTCATCCTCGGAGTAGCTTTTAATTATAAACACACGTCCATTCTTCAGGTTCCAATCAAAGTCTTTGGGATTATAGTTGTTTATGGCCTTTAGCTTCTCCAGCACTGGGTGCACTTCTACACTTGAAGGTGAAGCGCTGACAGGTACAACACCTAAACCAAAGTTTTCACCGCCCGCTCCATTGTTCTGATTGAAGCCTGCTCCCCTGTTCCGAGGAGCAACCCAGCGATTCTGCAGCTGCTGCTGTTGAGGCTGCACTTGGTGAGGCTGGGCCTGTGGCTGAGGTCCTTGTTGCGGTTGTGGTTGTGGTGGCTGAGGCTGCTGTTGAGGCAGTTGGCTTTGCACCAATGGTGGTGGTTGAATTAATGGCTGAGGCTGCTGGATTATAGTTTGAGGAGGCAGAACCGGTTGGGTTGGTGGAGCCTTTACCACTGACCCCTTTTCATCCCAAGTTCCAATATTCATGTTGTGTTTTATAGGAGGTGGTGGCACGGCAGAACCAATTCCCACATTGCCCTTGGGTTTAAGTTTCGGTTGAGGTTTGGCAGGCTTTCTGGCAATGGCAGCCCAGGAGGTTGGTTTAGGTGCTGCACTGCTAACTGGGGGTACACTATTGGTTGCAATGCTAGTCATACCACTGCTGCTCAAGGCTGTACCTACAGTTTTTGTCACTGCAGCTGTCAGGTCACCACCAATTTTCAGTCCAGTCATGCCTTGCTCAATACTACTAATGCCAGGTACCTTACTCAAAGTATCATTGCCAAATCCAGCCTGTCCATCAGTAATAGCTCTCCCAAGAGAACTAGGTGGATAGCCATAACTGCTACTATAAGCAGAACTTTGTGTTGATTGTCCCTGAGATCCACTTGTCCCCCATGTAGAGAAATCAGCATTACCAGGAAAAAAGTTAAATCCATGTTGACCAAGAAATGGAGGGGTATTTCCTAATGCCCCAGGTTGACTAAACACACCATCTGGTATATAATGATGTTCTCCATTACTCATTTGTCCATAGGTTGTCAGATATGGCATAGGCTGGTCTCCAGCCGTGGACCATGCTGCTTCCCCAAGAGAATATGGAAATCCAATGGATGGAGCATAGTAACTAGGCATGTATGGATCTGACATTGGTGGATAGCTGTTACTCTGCAAAACAAAAAAGACAGCAATCAGTAGCGAAATGCTCTTTTATGGGGAAAAAGACATCTAAAAGATTAAAATCAAAAAATATTAAGTAAGTTTTAAAAAGTATCTGTTCTAGATAAACAAAATTAAAATTCCAAACGCAAACTTATTAACAAAAATATCTGATGAGTATTTATACTTTTAAATATTTCTTATAAAATTATTCACAATGCTTTTAAGAGAGAGGAATAGGGGTGGGCTGGAAAAGTATTTTTGTTTGAAGAGCCTCATCTCTGGCAATTTTAAAACACCTTAATTTGGAGACCAGCAGATGGCATAATGGTTTCGTCACTGGACTGATTCCCACGTAGCTGACTACAGTTCTAGTCCTAGGCCTGGTGGCTTAAAATTCATACTGAGCACGTGTGCGTGCATGCCCAAAATCTCCAGAAGAGAATGGAGAAGGGACTGCACCTGCCCATCCCCCATAAGAGGAGGTGATTTCTCACTTTCTGTCTCTCTGGCAAGCACATGCTCCCTATAGCAAAAATCTCTCATTAAAAAAAAAGAAAAGAAAAAGAAAAAACACTAATTTCTACATAAAGCTCATTTATAAATTTTGCAGACACAAAAATCATTTAAATCCAGGTATATTTTAACCAACTGATGCAATCAAAAATTTACATGTAAGGATTAAATAAATCTGGAAACCAGGTCAAATACAGGAATGGTATCAGTTTATCTATGTGATAGAATCCATTTCAATAGATAATTTTTGTACTCTTACTAAGAAAAAATAAAAAGGAGAAATTCTCATATTCTAAGAAAATAAGATTCAAAATTATGCCTCTAACAAGACCCAAACTTGTTTTTTGTTTACCCTAAGTTTCTTGAAATAGAATTTTTAACCCATTTTTCCTGCTTTTAACTCTCTTGGGGGCTATTCTATGACTGTTTTTCCACTTGAGAAAGCTTGTCAATATAAATGTGTGACAATAGCATCATACTATTACTACCAAGAATTAATTTTTAGATTATTTTCTAAAAGCCTACTGAAAACTATTACCAATATGTTACTTGCAATAATACATCTTGCAACTGTTATAACTATTCACTGTCTATGACAATGCTAATCTAAAATATTGTCTTTTGAAATGATTCTGATATAACTAAAAGAAAAAAAACTAAACAGAGGTTGCATTTAAGTTAATAATTCTGACGAAAATTTTGGATACTGCTAGTAAAACTTAAATTTAAAATTAAAAAACAAAAACAAAAAACCAATTCTGTCATTATTGTTTAATGAAAAAAAATTTAACTATTTTTTAAATATACTCGATATCAAGTATATTTTACTATATTCAACTATATTCAAAAATGCAGGGCCAGCTGGAGGTGTGCTAAAGGTGGCTGGATCTCACATGGCCAACTAAGCAGTCCAAGTCCCAGACCCAAAGGTCAGAAAAACACACCAAGCATGCACACATTTGTGTGTGTATGTGTGTGTGTGTGTGTGTGTGCGCGTGTGCATGCTCATTCAAATTCCCGAAAGGATGGAGAATCGGAGGAGGGACTGTGAAGCACCTTGCCATGAGGGAGTAGGGGAGACATGCTTTCTCATTTTTCCTCCTTTCCTCCCCTCCCCTCATTCCCCCCCCTTCTCTCTGCAAGTAAACACACCCTCTGGAAGGGAAAGAAAAATAACTGGATATTTATGTGTTACTATTTACTAATTTAGTTCAACACATTCTTTCGTTATATCAGGTAATTTCTACTAACTATAATTGAAAATATACTCAAAGCATGATTACAGTAATAGTATGAAAGGAATTAAAAGCACCTTATTTTTCTTTGCGCTGTAGTTTTACACTGTGATCCTACTGCCTCAGTCCCCCATACAATGCGAACTACAAGCACTTGCCACCATATTGGCCTTTCAAGATGGGCTGGGAATTGAACCCCTGCATGTGGCCTCAGCCTGTCCTGGCAGCAGTGTCTACTACCATGTGCTACTGTGGTCTGGCTTTAAGAGCATTTTTGGAACTACCACAATAGTAGCATCACTACAATAACCAATGTTAGAAAGATGTACTTGCTGCTGTATGTAAATACACCTAACAAGTATCTGAGGGAAGCTCAAATACACTAACAATGATTGATTCTTAATAAATAAAAAAAAAGGAATTAGAAATAGCAAACTTTAGAAGTCACGATGATACACACATACACATATACATACACAATTCGTTCACTAAATATCTGCTAAAAACAAAGTACTCAGTGCTTCATACTAATAAGTCAGACATAAAATTTTTTAAAAGTTAATAAAAATGAACAGTTCAGCCAATATAAACAAACATGTATAGCTGACAAAAAGATAAGTCTTCATTTTAATTTAAAGCTAAACATACTCTTCTACTTCTATTTTCTGTATTTACTTCAGCTACTTACCAAATGCCTACCTTGTGAAAAACACTGACAAAAGATACTTATTCTAAAAGAAAACCTACAGTTAAGTGGAAAAGACAAGTACCACAGGGAGATAAATATATTTCACATTGGGAATAGTAGCAGAGCTGGGCTGAGAATGAACGTAAAAGGTTTTAAGGTTTGAATTTTGAATGATGCATTGAAATTTGGACTCACTAAGTCTTTATATGTGGAACGGAAAAGCAGGTCAAGCAGGAAGTTTCTAAGTTCATTCTTTACAACAAAATATTCACAAAATTATACTCATATTTGTATTATTCTTATTTTAGTATGTGCTCCGTTTTTTACAATTTCTTACCAGACAGCTTTGGGGGGAAAAAAATGCACTGCTGTCCTATTGCAGAGATGCTCAAAGGATCACGACTACCTACAGTCCTGAAGAATACACACACACACACACACACACACAAACACCCCTCAGGTATATGTATACACACACACGTGTATACACACACACACACACACACACACACACATATGCACACAAACATTTATTATAATTTGACCACAAAGGGATAGAGAAAGACAGGGAAATTGAGAAAGCAAGCCACCAGGTCTGGGAACCATCAGTTGGCCATATGGGAATCCAGCACCCTTAACAAATACACTACCTGCCGGCCCCTCAGGTATATTACATAAGTGATCTTCCTCGTTTATTCAAAATTCACTGTTAATCAGTGAATTAATCACTATTTCTCAGTTTTTTCAGTAGTTTTAGCTGAATGGTATTTTTTTTCCTCTTAGTTCTATAAAAGTAACTTAAGCAATCTCCTTTTAAAAAGCAAGGTCTTGGGACCAGCAGGTGGAGTGGTGGTTAAGGCACGGGACACTCCCACATGGTAGACCATGGTTGAGTCTCAGACCTGGTGGCTTGCTCGCTCGCGCGCGCGCTCTCTCTCTCTCTCTCTCTCTGTGTGTGTGTGTGTGTGTGTGTGTGTGTCTCAGCTCAAATTAAAAAATAGATGAATGAATGAACAAATAAAATAATTCTTTTAAAAAAAATCAAGGTCCTGGTTCTAGCAAGAAACTCTTCACAGCTGAAAAGGTATGACTATACTACTTAATAATCAATCATTTTGGGATCAGTGGGTGGCACAGTGGTTAAGACACTGGAATCCCACATGGCCAAACAAACCCACTGACGTGAAAATCATGTTGGGCACATGTACATGCATGCCCAAACTCCCGGGAGAATGGATAAAAGAGGACTGTAGCACGGCCATCCTCCTGGGGGAAGTGATTTATCATTTCCCCTCTTACTGTCTGTCTCTCTACAATGAGCATACATGCCTTATGGCAAAAGTCTAAAAAAATACAAAAATCATTTTGAATTAGTAGAGTTTCAAGTATGACTTTGTATTAACTGTAAATTAATGTATGTTTTGCTAAATACAAATGTTTAATTGTTAGCTAAGTGGAATAGCAATTAGAAGAATGTACCTTGGTAGGAAAAGGAATAGAATTTCCACTAACTGATGGAAAACAGTAATTCAAATCTTACTTTTACCTTTTATCTGAAAGTTGGTTAAAATGATAGATGTAATCAACTTTACAATTTATGTGCAGCCTTTAGACTATTCAAAATTTGGAAATTGTTCAAGTGAAATTTTACTGTTTTCTTTAAAGGTATCTTACCTTTAAAAGTAATATGAAATTTCCTACTTCCCCATACATCAAAAAACTGGATGGCAAAAAATAACAGTAATGTGTAAGCGTAAAAATGATACAATATTGTATCATTATGATACAATACAAATGATACAATAATCACCAGACAGTTAAAGGCATTTGTGCAAACAGAGTCCTAGGCCCTTTACTCATAGCACAAACACAGAGGTACTATCTACAGAGGTCATCTAATACAGTGCCAATGTGAAGCCATGAGTCACCTAGGTTTTAATCCCAACCCAGGTACTCACCAGCTACATGTAAAAAGGGTAGGTTACCTAGACTCTCACTTGTTTTCTCATCTATTCAAAGGAAATAAAGAGACAGTGTCTAAAACATACTAAGCACTCAACAAATAACAGCTTTATTTCTTAATATAATCTAACTTGACTCTTCTAACATGTAAATTAATTGCCATACATGGCACAATTTCAAAACGAGTCAGCCATAAAGAGCATAGTAATAATGTAATGTACTTAAGTAGTTTCAAGGATATGGAATCAAGTCTTTTCTCTCCACTTTGCCAGTGATCTCAATGGATTATTTAATTTCTCTTGTTACTTTGTTGATAAAATGAGGATAACACCTGTTGCTCTACTCAACTGTGAATTTTTTAAGGTTTTTGCCATAGGGCTTGTGCCCTTCTCTGGAAGGGAGAGAGGCAGAGCAACAGAGAGGCAAAGTGAGATAGAACTCCCCAGGGGCAATGGCCACTCCACAATCTCTTCTCCATTCTCATCTGCATTTGGGGCATGCATGCATATGCACCCACCATGACTTTCAAGCCACCAGGTCCAGGACTCCAACAGCGTGGTCTGCCATGTGAAAAGCCAGAGGCCTTAATTATCACACCACCGGCTGGC